CATAGGCGACACATATCACGACCTCCGCGAAATGAGCTAGAGTATGGAGCTCTACTCAGAGACTCGGCAATAGCAATGCATGCGCTAGACACGGGGCACGAAATTGACTTCGAAAATGTCGAGGTTATCAGGAAGGGATTACGATCAGCCAAACAAAGACTGATTGCTGAGGCTATAGAAATAACTAAGGCTAACAACTGGGTGAATAGAATAGACGGAGTAGGGCTGTCTAGTGCCTGGCGTCCAGTCTTACTCCGGCCAGCTTGATAAGCATCGGTGGATGGATCCCAAATCGGAATGGACTATCAACACTCCCTCCACCAAATTCCGAAGTACTAAAGACAAGTTATATCAGTGACCGAGTTCCTTGCAACGGACCACTTAAGATTACTGACCACACATGTAACTATCCTCGGAGCATCAATTTCTGTTCCCCATCTGATCCTGACTGAAACAAACCACAGTGTACACACGAGCCTAGTGACCTTTGACCGTTGTAATCTTTCATCGATGAATTGCAAATTGATTAGTCTCTGTATGTAGCTTAGCCATGATCGTTGTAAAAATGCCAATGTTAAGCTAATTCACTTCGCCTGATGAAGCTTTTGTGTCAAAAGCGAAACGTTGTGTATCACCACAAACATATTAACCGGTCGTCTACCAAGCCTTATGATATGTGGTCAATAGGCTGCACTCGCACGCACCTTGGACACACTGAGTATTGACGTGTGTTGTGTTTGCGAAACTAGGATCAATGACCCTAATAGGGCTGTGGAATTACGTGCGCCCCGCTTATTCTCTCGCTATTGGTTGCACGCATCCGGCGACATTGATGCGGCAGCCTCCGGTCAAGCTGGGGTAGGTATTCTGCTCATCTCTAAGACTGAGTCATCGTTGATTGACTGGATTCCGGTGAACAGCCTTTTGTGTGCAGCCCGTTCGACGGCATCGACAAACGTTGATTTACGAATTAGTGTGCGACACTTTTTGTGGTTTCCGCTTATGTTCCTTGAGACCGTAGTAATGATGCTAACAAGGAGATACGCTATCACTAATTGAACGCGCCACTACGCAGTGTTACTAGTTCAGATATCATTGCACTTGCAGGGTATTTGAACGTAAAAGTAGAGCGTCTGAGCACTTCAGAAGCTCACCTAGGAGGTAATTATGGGCATAACTCCGAACGGACTGACAACGTCAAGTGTCTGTTGCAACTGTGTGCAGAGCACCAGTTGTTTCTTAGTAGCACTGCTTTTAGACAGTGGACACCGAAGTGCCACAGCGTCCTCCCGTAGCTGACATGCGATGGACCCAAATTGAAAACATAGCCATAAGTTATCGGTGGCGTGGTTCAATCCTGGATTGCCGCTCGTACTAGAATACCTGCGTCGATTCTAATCATGCCTTGGTACGCTGTCGTTTCTCCATGAAATTTACCGGGAGATACACCAAACGTCTCCCCCGATTGGCAACTGAGAAATTGTCTCAGCGCTCTGTCAGGAAAGCCTATCAAGGCGTACTGCGCACCGAAGTTTCGCTGTCACGTCCAAACGAAACTACGCTGCAATGGAATAGGATCTCGGCCACCACGCAAGACGCAGAAGCATCAGCTTGTGGCACTATCAATGGTCACCGCACCAGTCACTAGATATCCGAGAGGTCGGTAAACCTGTTGGAATCCAGGAGAAAACTCCAGGCTGGTTCTGAACAAAACGTGACCAGACAAATTATTAGGCGTGAACTAAAGCGGAGCCTGCTTGCAAACAAGCCTGATGGACAGGCTCAAGAAATGGAGGAAGTAAGCTCTTCCAGCTGATACGCACCACCGGTCCCAGGAAACCAGGTGCCAGTGAGACAATCAGAGACAGCGCGGGTGCATTGATACACAATAAAGAGCGCCGCATGGTTCGTTTGGGCAGCACACCAACATCAGTCCAATTGGCCCCCTGCTCCCTGGCCTCTTCCTACTCAGGTGATGCAGGACGAGCCATGGACTGTTAGTTTAGAGCCTCCGTCGGAGGCCGAGGTCCGAAACGCGATCACAGCCCTCAATCATTTTCGTGCTGCCGGCCCGGATTCCCTCCCACCTGCAGTATTTAAGGATAGAGGTGAGGTCCTCTGCAAAGTACTGACCTCCCTATTCGAATATATCCGGAAGGAAGTGTCCCGGTTAACTGGAGTGAATCCATTACAGTGGAAATATAAAAGTAGGGCAGTCACACCAACCTTGCTAACCAGAGGTAATAGCCTAACGTCAGTTGTGACAAAATTACTGACCTCGATTCTCGTTCGTCGTCCCATCAAGGAATGGGAATCTAGAATTATAGAAGAGCAGGCAGATTTTCGCCTAGGATGTGGCTATATAGACCAATATTCACTTTGCGGCAGGTACTAGAGCAGCGCCACGCACACCGCAGACCGACAATAGCTGTGTTCTTCGACTTCAACAGTGTGTTCGTTTCAGCAGATCGATTCATTCTGTTCGAAATACTTGCATGGAAAGTTGTTCCCACGAGATATGTGAACATTTTACGTGCACTGTACTTGAACACCACAGTCCGCGTCAGGGTCTACGGTGAGTTGTCGGATAGCTTTCCGACAACAAGTAGTGTTCGTCAGAGTCGTCAGATTATCCCGTTTGTGATCGATTTCGTCGAAGTCCATCATGAATTGCTCTCTTACGGAATCTCACGATGTAGGCGTTGAGGTTCAGCCTGCTGAATGGTTAGTTGATCTTGATTATGCGGACGATATCGTCTTGCTTTCCGACGATGTTGCGGCGGCACAATCAACCCTGAACAGCCTCTCTAGAGTGGTTCCATTATTTGGTATGCGCTTCGTACCTTCAAACTGCAAAGTGTTGCTGCAGGATCACCACACAGTTAATGACCCGTTGACCCTTGATAAGGAGGAATTCGACGTGGTTGATCGATTCAATTACCTTGGCAGCTACATCAGCAACGATGAGCGCATAGAAACTGGTCAGTTCGTGAATTGCCTTCATGCAGTCTTCTTGATCCTGCAGCATCTTGCGAGACAGAAGGGAATATCCCTCGGTCGGAAAGGCCGTGTGTACAAGGCCACAGTGAAAGCCGTCCTGTTCTATGAGAGTGAGACTTGGCCCCTTCGAAATGATCTGCGGCGCCTTCAAGTCTGATCATTGTTGTCTGCAGAGCATTGCTGGTGTCGGATGGCACTAGCGTATCAGCAACGATGATGTGCGAAGGCGAGTACTAGGCAGGGATAACCAAGCTAGTTCCTTAGAACGCGTAGCACTGAAGAAGTTGAGTTGTCTTGGGCAAGTACTACGTATGCGTAGCCACGGCTTACCGATGAGCGCCTTGTTTAGTCTGCCAAATATAGGGTGGCGCAAGGATCGACGTGAAGAAAAGTTGACTTGGCAGCAGGAAATGAAGTCACTGACGACCAAACTCGGAGCCGTCGTTCCGTCTCGCCTTTCGGACTAGAGTCTACGTGACCCGCTATGTGCTTAGCTCGAGACTTTACAGGACATGGCTTGCAACCGACACCAGTGGCGCGTCTGCTGCCCTCTCCTAGTCGGTTGGCCTGTTTAAAGTATGTTTTGTGCTGAGTTATCTGCGGGGTAATGTTTGACTGTGACACAGGGCAATGAGATCAGCAAGGAAGTTGTCTCGCCGATGCCGTCCTATTTTTGCACGATAGCCAGCTATTTGTGACGGTATGTTGTTAACACAAGGTGCAGGCACTTAGACCCTGAATGTTTGCTCAGGGCATCAATGTTTTTCAGTCAAGCCCGTTCTCTCCGTTATTATTCTTTATTCCATGGGTCATTATGGCCGAAGCATCAGTTCAATGGGCTGATGTATTGCTGTTGTTGTTGATGATGATGTAGCATACGTGTCAAAGCAATTGCACTATTGGCTTAGGTTAGTAAATGGAACTGAACCGGATAGAGCGTTCACACCAAGCGCAGCGTTGATGATAATTGCATATTTCGCTTACTGGTCTTCTCTTAGATGTTGGCTCAATGTGACGACGCTAATGGCTTACCAAGCCAGCTTCGCTATGGCACTCGCCACCGCATGTCAGCTGGTGGCCAGAAGGATTGCACGTCTGGCTTGCAGTACTTAGGTCACCGGTTCGAATGCCGGCCCGTGGCCTAAAGGTAGCGAGATCGCCTTGCAATCTGACGGCGCGGGTTCGAGACTGCACAGAGAAAGGGCGTAGTTTCCTTAGCCCACGTGCGACTGATGATGGTTGCGTGGCAGCGAAGCGTCGGTGCTGCATACCGGCATACTGCTGATGCATTCCTTCCTTCACCGGTTCGAATCCGGTTAGGGGCGAGTGTCCTCGCGGAATACTCAGCCCACGCGCGACCGGTGATGGTCGCTTAACAGCAAAGCGTCGGCAGTGTGTCGGCGTACTGCTGGTGACTAGGTGCTACAGCACAACGCGCTGGACGTCGATGGGCTATTTACCATTGGCGCCCGTCGCATCCTCAACCGACGTTTTGTTTCCGCATGCAGTAGTGATTTCTCATGCACCTGAGCAACCACCCAGTTGATATGCTTTCGCCATCGCCGCCAATCCACTGGCATCGCCTCTCAACACCTATGTAGTGACCTGGAGATTTCCCCGTATGACTGTGTAAACTATTCTAAAATACATTCAAATTATAGCTTTCTTATGTATTAGGGAATTGGGCAGTTTGCCTGTTGGAACGTTGTTCCCGTTTGTTGAAAACACGAACGCTATCTTCGCCTTTGGCGCGCGGCTCGACTGCGAACGACGCTCCGTCTACGCTCTCGACGCCAACGACATTCTCCCTAGCTAGCTCTCTCCGGGTGCCCTATTTTTAGCATTAGCTAACGCTCCTCCCGTCCAATAAACTTCTCCCATAGCTTACTTTTGTGTCTTCTACCCATTGCTTTTGGTTGGCCGTCTAGTCGCGTACCGTATATACAGCGCACGATCTACGCGCTATACCTAAAAGCAACAATAGTTCGTGATAAACACACCTTGATCAAGTCCTGGTAACGTAATCTCGAATTTCTCACGTCCCGCTTCCCTGCACACAGTTGACCACAAAGCAGCTATTTCGGTATCAGCGTCGAATCCATGTGGTGAACTTGCCCGAGCCACATCAGATACTTTAACAGAAGTGCAGACTGTTGGATCTACAGTTTTTCTCGGTATTCCGAACTAAACACGCAGAAATTTCTCCGCAAAAATTCTAGCCCAGGATAGTGGCTAATTTTTGACATGAAAAACAGGCCTGGAGGGGCTTTGATTCCGGTACACCTGGCTAAATGGTGATGCTTTCAGTTCAGTTCAGATGGGACTAGAAGAGGCGGGTATAGGTCGCTTTGTGCTTAAGGATGTACAAAAAATAGCAGTTAGTAAGATATATTAGTTGTAAATTTCGCTTTCATTCATCGCGATTTTAAAAAATACAAAAAATATAATAATCAGACAAGAGATATTTATACCCCTTACACAAGCAAGTAACTTACTGCAAGCATAAGCTTTACATACATGAAACAATTGCATTAACACGTATTTGCTCCATAAATCAGCCGTTTACACTACACTTTTATTTAGCATTTGCCTGCTTTCCATTATGCCGTGAACTTCAACTACGCCTGTAGTAATCACCTTAATTTTTAATAACCGTTTTCACAAAGCAAATCCATATAGCATTATTTTCTATTCCTTGCACCGTAATATCAGCAAAATTAAGGATATACTCTGCAGCCACCCAAACAAACTTGGATGTTACCGAGGACAACGGTAGCGAAACCCTTTCCCGCCATGACAAAAATTAGCCTTTCCCTCTAGCCTTGCCGAAGAAAATTCAAAAGTCCAACGACCTTGACCACGAAAAACGTGTTAACAAAAGCGCTGCCAATGTGGCCAAAGATGCCGCCAAAACGCTGTACAACTGCGCCAGACCTGCGCTAAATATATAGAAGGCTCAATGCCCTTCGGCTTCTAGAAAACCAAGGTGACCTGGTAATATTAGTAGCCTACCTGCCAAAACTCCGTATGCTGGCGATCATGTGAAGAAACGGTAGGTTCCAGAAGCTTCGAAATCAATGCACGATCGATGATAATCAATTAATTGCAAAAATAATGCTTTTCCATTATGTTTTTTTACCTTTTCCCAGATGCAGCCCACCGCATACATGACAGTGGCGGAGCACCACCGTGTCTGCAAACCTGTCGCACCAAGCGATGCGTAGAATACGACGCAGAAACTGTTAATGAAACAACTTCTTTCGGTGCATTGTCCACGTTTCACTTCTGTATAGAAGAACAGACAGCACTATTGACTTGTATACCAGCAACTTCGTTTCAATGGTGCGCTAATGCTTGTTCCACGAACAGTTCTCCAGTTTGCTAAACGCAGCAGGTGCTGTAGACGTGCACATGTGCAGCTGGATTCTCAACTGAATTTGGGTAGAGAGTACGCTCTCAAGATAGCAGAATGTCACAATAGTTTCCGAAACCTCCGCACCAATGTGGATTTGCGACAGGCCAAATTATTCCACTTCCGGAGAACGTTGGAAAGGACAAACAGTCATGCTAGTGTTGATGGTGTGCTTGAATTTGACCGCTATCGAAGCGGAAGCACTTGTCATGTGCTGCAACCCATCCGATTTGTATGCAAAGAACGCAAAATCTTCGGAAAACAGCAACATACGTATGGCTGTCTCACACACTAGTGTTCTCGCACCGAGACGACAGATGTTCAGCAAACCCCCATCAATAAATGGCTCCAGACGCAAACCGTATTCAGAAGCAGAATCAAACGCAAGATATTATTGCATTAAGGTAAAAAATAAACAGAGCTGGGGCTAAGACACCGCCTTGCTTCACATCAGAAACAACACCAAATTCATCTGAATTTTGCCCGCTGAGCTGCAACTTAGCCTGTACATCACTGTGCAGATATTCAATTAAGGTTACGAACTTACACGGACAACCAAAACCATGTAACGCCAGCCAAAGTGCCACGCGGTTCACCGTCAAATGCTTTTACGAAGTTTATAGACAACAATTACAATGGCTGGTGTCACTCTGCATTTCTCCTGCAAAAGAAAAGCCGCGAACACCATTTCTTTAGCGTTGCAGCCACAACGGAACCCGCATTGCTCTTTCGCCACGTGCGTTTCAGCGAAATGAGTGACGAAGCGGTAGGGCAGTAAGTCGATACCACGATACTTCGTGGCACTTTACTTGCTCCCTTTGCTGTTCTACTGTGAAAGCACAAACGCATCCTTCAAGCCATAGGCGTTGCACAAAGTCTAGCAACGCATGTAGCAACGCAGGTCCGCCATTGCAATATTTCTAGCAATGCTCCCTCAACTCCGGAGCATTTGTTGTTTCGCAGCTGAGCAAGTACTAGCTGCGTCTACTCCAGTATCGGTGAGTTCGGAAAACATATCATCTGTACCTGCAGCCCGTGCAACAGAGCCGTCGATCTCTGAGCGCTTATTCAAGAGACATACAAACTGCGTTTGCCAGAGCTGCATGATGCCGGCAGTCTAGGTACAGGCAGAGGCTGAAATCGCATCCAGCAACGTCTTCAGCGGCTGCAAGTTCGATCCATACACCGCATACAAGGAGTCAAAGAATTCCTTGTGTAGGCGGCATTCAGCGTGGCATTCCATATGGTCCGCCACCTCCGTCCACCAAGCAATCTTAAATCGACGAAGCTCTCGAGCCAATTTCCGTCGGGTTGCGATACTGACTCTATGGCTCGGAGTCGTCAGGGGCGTTCATATGAGCAACAAGTGCCGCAATGTTCTCCGATACCGATTGGCCAGGGGTAACACTGCTGTCGTCAAACCAATTAGGCCGATTATATTTCGTGCACCGATCGTTTTCTCGGCCGGAGCCGTCCTCCGTTCCCTAACGTGGTGCCAGAGATTGCGGACTGAGGCGATCGATTTGAAATCGCCAATGCGGGTGGCCATCGTATTCTCCGGTCCTGTCCTCTTCCCTGTAGCACCTATAAAATTAACATTAAATTTTTGGTCACTCATGGCAAGTGAGCAACACAGACTTTTACGAAAATATACGTAAAATTTGATTTTCACAAGGTTGTGACCAGTGTCACACTCAGCTTTACGCAGTACACGTGTCATGTGCACTTCAAGCATGTCACACTAGCGTACGACGATATAGTCGATCAGTAAGTGTGTCCAAGTTGCTTTATCACTTGCACACAGCGCAAACTGAGTTCGTAAGTCAAATCGTGAACAGTACCTAGTGAGAGCAACCGGTCAGCGTTCCTGTTGGTTGAGCCAATATCATATGGATCGATTGCGTCTGTTCACACCGTAGTATCACGCCCCACGCGAGCGCTGAAATCACCCAGTAAGAATAATTGGTAGTCCACCGGAAAAGCTTGTATCATGCAGGATAATTGCAAGTAAAATTGATCCCTCGTGTCATCCGGATAACGTGGTGGAAGCATACGTCCAACTCAAAGTGGCAAACTTACCGCTTCTAAGTCGTAGGCGAAGTATCATTTATCGTGGACTGAAGGCAGGTCGCACAGCAACCGGTTGAACGATTAGGCGGTCTTCTAGTGCGAAGTCGAACATATATATATATATATATATATATATATATATATATATATATATATATATATATATATATATATATGGTGTGCTGAGGCTGGTGGTGGCTGTATCCTGACACATGGTCCACCCACTACTGCTACTGTTGTGTCATTGGCTCATGTTCTGCGCGCTACCTCGTGGCGACCGCTGGGTGGGAGTTGGGTTAATCCCTTCTCCCTGCTAAGATCCAGGACACCAATCCGCACGAGTCAATGAACTAACCATGTGCTAGACCCGCTGCTTTTCGGGTGTACGTTGTATCGAACGCTTTGGATGAGGACCCGAGTCCATCTCCTGTCAAGTGTGGGTGCCCTGCTAGTATCCTAGTCCATCCTCTTTGGAGGTTAGGAAGTGTTCGATAACCCTCATCCCGTAAAGCCTAGACATGGGAGAAAACAGGTCTATGGGTTATAAGCTAACAGCTGGATTAGCGTAGCGTACGGGAGCAACGCATTTTCTCTGACGGTAGGAGGGCACCTCCGGGTGTTCAATGAATTGCTACTGCCGCCCAAGCCAGCCAACCCCAGGTCAAATTGGTGCAAACACGACAAAACCCTCCTGCATCTGGCCGTGGTGGCAGCTGCGTATCCTACCACGGTCATACCACATATATGAATTGTTCCAGAACCCAAAAGGCTACGTGTAACGGCCGTAAAGCAGATCCCAATCTGCCACCGGAATCGCGTTTCTGAGCTGGATCTGCTCCCCACTGCCTTGTGTGACAGGCTATTGAGCCGAAGGCTCCGGGAGGAGTCTCTCGAGCAAAAAATCAAACCATCCACTACCTCGTTGGTCAGGCTACTGAGCCAAACGCTCTGAGCGGAGTCTCTCAAGCAAACCTCCGAAGCACAACGACCACCTCACGTGCGATTGCCCACTAATGCAATCGTATGCCTGTGCGCAAAGCACGCTGCATCGGGTGCTGGAACGTGCACACACTACTGGACTATAAATAAGGCGAACGCCCGAGCGACGCACTGCACTCGTCGCCATGGAGCTAGCGTGCTATCACATCGATATTGCAGCGCCCAGTGAAACCCGATTCGCAGTGCAAGGCAAATCGCATGAGGCAGGTGCTGGCTACACATTCTACTGGGTGGGCAACGCCACCACAGCACCACGTGAAGGTGAGGTCGGATTTGCAATATCCGATCGCCAGTCGGGGGATGAAACAACAGGCATTAGCACGCGACTGATGACCGTCCGCGTACGACACGGACCGACCATGTGTTATCCTGATGACACGCGTGATCAATTCTACACTCAGCTATCCGCCGTGGTACGGTCTGTGCCGAGGAGCGACCGACTATTTCTACTGGGTGCTTTCAACGCGAGCGTTGGGCGTGATGCATCGGTGTGGACAGATGTCATCGGTCCGCATGGCATTAGTTCAGCGAATGCGAACGAGGACAGGCTGCTCTCACTGTGCGCCACTCACGGCTTGACGATCACGAACACTCGGTTTGCACGGAGTGCGATATAGCAAGTTGGACGCATCCACGGAGTGGTCACGCTCACCTGCTCCACTATGTCATCGTACGTCAGCGTGAAATGCGTGAAGTGCGCATGACACGTGTACTGCGTGGAGTTGAGTGTGGCACTGAGCACAAATTGGTGCGGACCAAACTGTACATATATTCTCGTAAACCCCTGTATTGCACTCCCGCCGTGAATCGGCGTA